CACTGTGCCTGGGGAAGCCAAACACTCTTGTAGGGCCCAAGAAACCCTGTAGACACAGACTGGTTTCTTCCTTCCTTCCTTCCTTTCTTTCTTTTCTGTTTCGGTTTGGGTTTTTATTATTGTTGTTTGTTTGTTTTTTAAGTTTTTGACATGCCATGTGACCCATAGACTGTTTTCTGTCTCCCTTAACTTAGGGGACTCCTTGGAGGGTTCTCAGGCTGCAGGAGGGTGGCACATGCCAGGCTGGGTACCCGTGGATGATGGCGTACTGGGCCTGGGTCTGGCCCAGCCTGGCTGGCTACATTCTCTTCCAGCACTAGCCCCTGGCAGTGTTCCCTTGGGTAAGTCACTTAACCTCTCTGTCCTTCATTCTTACTTGTCAGATGGAGATAATGACAGTGCTCCTCATTCTGCCGTTGTGAGGAGTCAGTAAGTTCATTGACACAAAGAGCGCACTCAGGCACTCATACGTTACTTATAAAACCACCACCAACAACAAAACTTGACCCAGCGCGGAGATCCAAGGCCCAGAGCCCTGTAGGCTCCCACTGTATGGGAAGCCCCATCGGCACGGAGCCGCCTGCCCATTCAGGGTTAAGCCTTTGGGTTGCTCTCTCCCCTCCACACTCACCTCGCCTGGTCCATCATGAACATTATGGAGCATCCTCTGAGCTAGGTGGCAGCACAGCCCAGCCCTGCTTCTTAACGGCCGTGCGTCATTGAGACAGATTTTTCCAGCCTCAGTCTCCTCGTCTGTAAAGTGGGTAGAAGAACACCTGTGGGGCTCTCCCCACGGCTGCGGAGGATCAAGCCTGGAAGTGCTTCGTAAACCTGAGTGTGGGTGCAGATATGAGAAACTGTCCTGAGCGCGTGGCTTCCCCTTGCCCTCACCCCCCAAGAGAGGTAGCAAGTAGCTACATCCAACCAGTTACCAAGCCCAGCGAGGAGGACGGTGTCTGTCTTCAGGTGGGCTCTGTCCAGAGGGTAGAAGGCAGAGCCCACCCTGTTCCTGGGTGGTGGAGCCCCAGGCACTACCACCCCTTCCTGTGGTGCACAAGGCACGGGGAGGGGAGGAGATTGCAGAAACATGCTGAAGGTCAGGGTCTTGGTGTGCGTCGGCCTGGAGGGGGGTGGGCAGGTCTAGGCGGTCTCTGTTGGAAGCCCCTGGAGAGGAAGCGTGGCTGGGGTTCCCAGTAGACTTGGCGGGCATTCTAGAGACCAGTTAGGCAGAGTACGCACACATCCTTTGATGGAGCAGTCCATTCTGCCCCTGGACATACGTGTGAAGACATTCTCCTTAGGAACAGATGGGGGCCCCCTGAGTGTCCGTGCTGGCACAGTAGAGAGGAAGCAAGGGGGACACACTGCATTGGACATTCAAAGGCAGCGGTGTGTGTGCATGGGGCCTTGGGGCTGGGTGGGACACCACGCAGCACTGTTATACCAGGCATGAATACCCTTCCCCTGAGGGGACCCAGACTTATTGGAGAGATGGCTGGCCCTGGGGCTGCCGCAGGGGAAGGCTCACAGTGAGACTACTAGAAAGTAATGAAGTAGCCAGGCACGCTGGTGCACACCTGTAATCCCAGTGGCTCTGGAGGCTGAGACAGAAGGATCACAAGTTCATGGCCAACCTCAGCAAATTACCGAGGCCCTAGGCAACTTGGTGAGACTCTTGTCTCAAAATGAAAAATAATAAGGGCTGGGGATATAGCTCAGTGATAGATTGTCCCTGGGTTAAATCCCCAGTATACAATCAATCAACCAAGGAAGGAAGGAAGTATATCCCCCAAATGCTGGAAGCATGTCAAAATCACAGGAAGGGCCAGTGGTAGACCGTATTCCTGGCACGTACAGGGCCCTGGGTTCAGTGCCTAGCACTGAAGGAAAAACAGACACAGGACCCAGGTTGACAGGGTTCCCACTGGACAACCCTGGGACAATTTCAGCACCAAATAAATGCTAGTTAAATTGTAAATCACTAGATGCGTAGGATTCCATATTGATAATAAATAGAAGAGGGAAGGCTGGCTTTCCTTAGAGTGTCAAGGTTCTGTTCGTGAGGGAAAGATCATAATTTTGCAAACACCATAAAGATCAGATTGGCAAGAATCAGCAGTGGATGCTAAATCCAGGGCAATGGAGGCTAAATGTTGGTGAGCAGCAGGATATTTACATATTTACATGCTCTTGAGAGTATTCCCACAGACTTCTTGATGGGGGGGACGACACAGCAGTAATTGTGCAGTGGAGAAATGGAGAAATCGCGCACCACTCTGACAAGTGATCAGAACACAAATTAAAGATGGACTCCATGTGCCCCTCAGCGTGATGTCCCAAGGAGGACACCCGCTGTGCAGTCCTTCAGGCTGAGGATGCCTCCCCCCTGCCCCCATCTCATCATGACAAACACCAAATCAAAGAACCTTCATCTTTCAGATTAGGAAAGTAAGACCCAGGGCGGGTGGTAGAGTTGGTGAAGCCGGGGCCCCAGTTGGGTTTATTAATTTCCGAGTCTGTCCTATGCTACGCTGCCTCTTCGTTTAGAAATCTGTCTGTTGGACCTTGAATTAATCAGATCATTATATTTGTTACCAAGTGGCATTTTGGATGAGTCCTGAGAAATGCCCTAGTATCTTTACATAAATTGAGTGGCTGACAATTTGAAGCTTGATTTCCACTAGAGCAGTAACAGGAGATCGGTTTGTTTTGATTCCAGAGAACATTTCACCCTTGGATGTTGACCCCAGGCCCAGCTGGGAACTTCCACAGAGCTTGGACAGGGCAGTGACATAGGACCGGCACGGTGTCCAGGGTCCAGAGTCCTGGTAAAGCCAAGTTTTAACTGACTTCCTTCGGTGAAGCCACGTTAATTCTTGCTCCTCCTGTGGGGACTCCTCAGGGGCATAATGGACCGGATTATGTGATAGAGAATGGTGTTCCCATGGTTAATAAGAATCTCCACTTGCATAAAGCAAATGATATCCTATGCTTTTATAACCATGTCAAAATGAATTCTAATGTTATCTATAACAAAAAAGATCTAAAAAAATTATTTTTTCCACAGGCACCCTCTTTTCTCTCAGTAGAATTGTTCTTAACTTCATGCATATAATATTCTTGGAGATGTTAAGATATGATTCACTTTTTTGTTTGGTACTGAGGTGCTTAATCACTGAACTACATCCCCAGTGCATTTTATTTTATTTTTTTTTTAAATGTTTTTTTAGTTGTAGAGGGACACACGATATCTTTGTTTATTAACTTATTTTTCATGCAGTGCTGAGGATGATCCCAGTGCCTCACACATGCTAGGCAAGCGCTCTGCCCCTGAGCCCCAGCCCCAGTCCCCCTTTTTATTTATTTATTAATTTTTAGTTTTCGGCAGACACAACATCTTTGTTTGTATGTGGTGCTGAGGATCGAACCCGGGCCGCAGGCATGCCAGGAGAGCGCGCTACCGCTTGAGCCACATCCCCAGCCCCCCCTTTTTGTTTTTTATCTTGAGACAAGGTTTTGCTAAGTTGCTGATGGACTTGCTAAGATGCAAGAGACTAGCCCCTGAATTTGAGATCCTCTTGCCTCAGCCTCCAAATGACTGGGATTACTGGCATGCACCACTGCACCCTGCTAAGATGTAATTCACATGCTATACATTTCACACATTTGAATTGTACAATTCAGTGGGCATAGCATAGCACAGTGTTAATTTTTAAAATTTTGACACTATAAAGAACAAAGTTTGCCATTTTCTTAAAAAAATATTTTTTTAGTTGTCAATAGATCTTTATTTATGTGTGGTGCTGAGAATCAAACCCTGTGCTTCACACATGCTAGGCAAGCGCTCTACCACTGAGCTATGACCCCAGCCCCAAATTTGCCATTTTACATTTTTAAGCCTGTCACTCAGTGGCATTAATTACCTTGATGGTGCCAAGTACTTATTATCACTGTCCATTTCCAAACTGTTTCTGTCACCTTAACAGAAATTGTAACCACTCCCCATTGCTCCTTCTCCCGACCACTGGTCACCTTGACTGTACTTTCTGAGTTCATGAGTTGGACTATTCTAGATTCCTTATAAATGGATTCACACAGTATTTGCCCTTCTGCACTTGTCTTCTTTCATTAGCATGTCAGACCCGCTGACAATCTGTAATTCCTGGTACAGCAGAGATGCTTAAGAAAGACACATGCACACACACGCATTCAGTAGAAAATGAGCACCGTCTGTACTTTTTTCTCTCCTTCTTTTATACAGCATTGTTAATTAAAACACGGGGAAAGAAAAAACATCCTTTCGGCAGCTTAATCCTTACAAGCATGGATAAACATTCTCAGGAAAACTTTGTATATGGTCACAGTGGTCCATGTTTCTTATCAATTAACTTGTGGTTAGTTATTCCCAGGCAAACACACACACACACACACAAAATTTTACACTTGGCAGATCATTCTTTTATCTTCTTAAGACAGCAACAAGGACACAGTTCGAAGAGTTCATACTTTCTCACAGAACTCCTTGTTTTGCTAAGCACAGCAAAACTTAACACTTTGTGTGCGTGAGCACACATTAGCACAACATTTTCAAGTTTCATCCATGATAAAACATGTATCAGAATTTTTCCCTTTTTATGGTTGAGTATATTCCATTACGTGCACATACCACATTTTTGTTTCTCCATGAGGCTGTTGTGGATTGTGCTGCTATGAACAGTCACGAAATAGCTTTTGAGGACCCTGTCTTTAACTCTTTCAGTTCCACCTAGAAGTCAGATTGCTGGTTTATGTAGCAATCCTATGTTTAACCTTTGAGAAAGCCAGTTCTTATTTGGAAGGATGCTTCCCTCCATGGCCCTCGGGCACCAGGTGCTGAGCCCCAAGGGCAAGGGGCAGGGAGAGCCACCCTTCACCGCCATGTGGTCCAAGTCTTGCTGCTGCACTGTCCTCTGCCCTGCCTACCTGCCCCCACCCCCTCTGACCTGTCCCTTTCTCCCCAGCAGATGTGCCCGTGGAGAAGCTGGCCGCCATGCCCGCCCTACGCAGCGTCAACCTCCGCTCCAACCCTCTGAATGCCGAGGTGCGCGTGATCGCCCCGCCACTCATCAAGTTTGATATGCTCATGTCTCCAGAGGGTGCACGGGCCCCTCCACCTTAGACCACCCTCCTCATTACCATCCCAGGGACAGAGGCCATTGGCCTGTCACCTGAAAGGAGGGAGGCCCATGGGAGGCTAAGCTGGGGGGCTGAGGGTGGGTAGGCCAAACAGAGTGTGGCGGGAGTAGGGTGCAGCGAGTCCAGGATAGCTAGTTTAGAGCAGTAGAGGCCCTGGAGCATTGAGAAGGAGGAGGCTGAGTGGGGGCTGGAGCCTGGATAGTGGGCACACAGCTGCTGTGCAAACTTGAGCAGATCCCCTACCCTCTCTGAGCCTTGTTGCTTGGGAGGAGGGATCCTGGCAGAGGGCTTTGGCCTCCTTTAGAATCCTTGGAGGTTTTAGCTTCAAATCACCAGGCACCCTCTGAGCCCACAGATGAGTGCAGCTGAGCATCTTCTGGGCCTCCGTGGGCTGGAGGCCTTGTTTCTAGTGCTGAGAGCCAATGGCTTCCCTGAGAGGAGTGGAAGACAACCCTCCACCTGCTGCTTCCTGAGAACTGAGGATGAAGCCTTTCGCCATGCCCCTCCTTCACCACCTGGCTCCCTGGGCCGGCAGGAGCCTGAGCGGGAGACCCAAGAAGGCCGTGGCCTCGAACAGGGCAAGACGTTCTGCAGACGCCATGCACCCTGAGGATGGACCCTGGGGAGAAATCAGGGCAGCTCTGTCCTTCCTTTTGATGAAGACTGAGTGGGCAGGAAGTTCTGAGCACTCCACACCTCCCCGGGGAAAGACTGTCCAGCTGTGCCTGGTCCTCACCCCTGAGCTGCAGGAGAGGTGGCCCAGGGACAACAATGCCATTTGTGTCTGTGGCTATGGTCCGAGTAATTAGCTGCCCCCCCCACGGTCTCTTTCCCTTGTCATGGCCCCTTGGGGGCAGAAGACACTGCGGATCGTTGGCTCCAGAGCTACCACCCTGCTGACCTAGCCATTGTGAGGTCCTCACCTGGAGTCTAGGGTTTGGCCAGGGAGTATGGTGACCAGCCATCCTGGCTTGTCAGGGACTGAAGGTTTCCTGGGATGTGGGGCTTTCAGTGATAAAACTGGGGCAAGTCGAGATGGCAGGCCCCCCACCTGGCTCTTGCTTTCTGGTAAACAGTGCTTTGGAGAACCCCGACTTTCTGATGCCCCAGGTGGCTACATCTCACTTTCTCATGGGAGGAACAAGGGCTTCCCCAGAGCCCACCTGCTCTGCACCTAGGTGTGGATCTGTGCAGACCCCTGAGGCCTTGGGCAGAGCTGGGCCACTTACCACACCTACAGTCCGGCTCTCCAGAGGTCTGACCACCAGTCAGAGCAGTAGCCTGTCTCAGAGGCGCCCCATGTGCTTCCCCCTTCCAGGTCTCCTATGTCTTGGCAAGGAGCTGACATTGTTGGTCACTGAATACTTAGTGTCCCAAGAGAGAGACCTTGTCCATTCTGCTCATATCTCAAGGCCTTCCTGTCCTTCTGAAAGAGGGTTTCCAGGGCTGCTGAGTTCAGCTGTGGACACTGGGCAGGTGGGGGCTACAGTGCAGTCCGGGCTGGGCTGCCCCCCGCCCCCCACCCCCCATGCTCTGGAGCCGGGTCTCTCCTGGTGGAAGAGGCCATCTCATGGCCAGAGCCTTGCACCTCAAAGCATGATCTGAGGGCCAGCAATGGCTGCATCACCTGGGAGCTTGTTTGCAACGCAGGATCCTGGGCCCACCGCAGTCTTCCTGCAGCAGAATCCGCATTTTAATAAGATTCCCAGCTGATTCCTACAAGTATGTTATAGTTTGAGAAATGAGGGCCTAGGGGTGACCCTGGGCATGTCCTCGGGTTGGAGGGCAAAGGCTTTCTCGGTTCTCCCCTGCCACCCCCAGGGATGTGAGTCTGGGCTCAGCCTCCTTCCAACCCAGCCCTGGGAGACCCGTAGCCTCTTGGATCTCTCCAGAGTCTGCATGACACTCCCTTTGAAGGGGGTGATCGCATCACCAGGAGATGAGGGTTGGGTGTGCGTGGCCATCTGGATCCTACCTCTGGTTCACCCCTGCATGCCAGGCGGCCTGCTCCAGGTCCTATCCCTGGCCCTGTGAGAGGCTGCTTCTGGAAGTTCCTTCTACTCTGCTTAGACAGCAGGCCCTTGCCTCTCTGGGAAAGCGTGGGCAGTCGGAGGAGCTCCCAAATCCAGGCTCACAGTGTGAGCGAGCCCTTAGCTTCAGTCTGCAATAAAGAATGTGTTGGTTCCCTCTGCCTCCAGGTGGTGTTTGATTGGTTCTCCTCACATAGACCACCAGGAGCCCAATGTCACCAGCCCACATGCCAAGAGGGGCTGTTCCTCTGGTGAAAACACAAGGGAAAGGAAGCTCGATGGGGACACTCAGAATAGCCCCGTGTGGGTGGAGGCACAGTCAAGCGGAGTGGATGCCTCGCCTGAGGAAGGATGAAGGGACCTACTCTCCCCATGACGCCCTTAGTGGTGCCAAACATTTTGTCCATAGTAACTCATTCCTCTGGTCCATGGTTCTCAAAGAAGGGTCTCTGGGGAGGCAGCAGGAGCTCATAAAGGAGCTGTTTAGAAATAGAAATCCTCAGGCCAGGCTCGGGGGTGCAGGCCTATAATGGGGAAGGAGGATCACAGGTTGGAGACTGTAATGAAACCGTTTCATAAAAGAGGAGGGTGGGGCAGACTGGGGATGTAGCTTAGCACCCCAGGTTCAATCCCTAGTACAACAACTAATTTAAAAAATATATATATATATATATATTTTTGTTATAGATGGACACAATATCTTTGTTTTTTTATTTTATGTGGTGCTAAGGATGGAACCCAGGGCCTTGCACCCTGCAAGGCAAACGCTCTACCACTGAGCTACAGCCCCAGCCCCCAAAAAATAATTTTTAAAAGAAGAAAGGAATACAAATGTGCAGCCCCACCCCAGGCCTGTAGTCAGAAACACAGGAGTGGGGTATTGGAGGGTTAAGCACCCAGTTTGAACAAGCCCCCAGGTGGTTCTGATGCAGTCAGTTAGAGAACCATTGTTCTAGGGCTCAAGGCTTTGAGTCAGGGGGTTTTGTTAATATTTTTGTCTTGTTTTGTTTTGGGTATTGGGGGTTGAACCCACAGATGCTTTACCACTGAGCCACATCCCTAGCCCTTTTCATTTTTTTTATTTTGAGACAGGGTCTTGCTAAGTGACTAAGGGTCTTGCTACGTTGCTGAAGCTGGCCTCGAACTTGTGATCCTCCTGCCTCAGCCTCCTGAGTTGCTGGAATTATAAGCATGTGACACTGTGCCCAGCCAGGTTTTGTGTTTTAAATCTGAGACCAACTTGAGTTTGCCTTGAATTTGAGGCTAGACAAGTACCAGGCAGAGTCTGGTGCATTGCAGATGGTAACTCATCTGGTTCCTGTAACAGTCCCGCCAGTTTTGTAATCTGGACAAATCCCTTTGCCTCAGGCCTTGTTCCCCATCTATAAAATGAAATGGCTGCCCTAGGACATCCCCAAGGATCTCGTTGCCACTTGTTGGCCGCTGTTTGTTAGATTCTGAAGGCCTTGCTATCATTTACAACTGTCCCCTGTGGATTAGCCCTTCTCTACCCCAAAGATCAAAGAGAGGACTCCTACGTGCTGTTTCCTGTCCAATCCTGGTTCACAAAGATCGCTGGGTCAAGCTCTCCATCTAACAGGGCTAGTCCTGCTGTCCTCTCCCTGCCTTAGGATAATTTCCAGTGGCATAGTTTTTCCCAGGGTGTCCAAGTGGGGATGAGACTTCAGAGTCTGGTTCTAGACAGGCCTTTCCACACAGGGAGGAAACCTGGATTGGGATTGGCTAAACATGACATGGCTTAGGGTGAGTGGACACGGCAAGGGGGGATTTGGAGGCTGAGAGCTGGAAGAGTCTTGAGGAATAAACTCTCTTTTGGTGCTGTTGAGAATTCAGCAACTTGGTGTTCCTTTAAATGACTCTTTCAGAAAGCTCTGGGAACAAACAATAAAGTTATTTACCACTTTCACTTCCCTTGCAAGAGTTTCCTGGAAGAGTGCACTTAGGTTGAAAAAGATGGTGGAATAATGAAGTTAATGTGGACAGAAAGCTGTGTGGGGCCAAAGGAGATTGTGAGTTTCCCCAAAATACCATGCTGGACACTGGAACCAGGATTTGAAACTGCCCTACCTGAAATGTGCCTGTCCCTTCTCAGAAAGCTAGCCAAGGGGCGGGGTGCACTTCTTGGAGGGTGAGTTGGCAGCCGTCCCAGAGAACCTCAGCAGGGTTCTGGGAGAGTTGCCAGTGTCTTAGGGCCTGGCAGCCTGGCCCCACCCAACCCTGGGAGAGGAGAGCCCTCATGGAGGGCCTAGTGTTTCCTGGCCTAGGCAGACACTTGTATCTCGCTCACTTACTTTTAGCAACGCCCATCTTGATGGCTACAGTATAGACTAGGAGCCAGGCTGAGGGGCTTGGCAAGGCACCAGGAAGCAGCAGAGCTCTGGCTGGGTTAGACTCCATGGCTTCGCTGCTGCAAGTCCAGGGCCTTTGCCGTGAGCCCAGCCTCTGAGAGCCCGACCAGAATAGAATAAGTGACTGATCGTTTTCTCCAGCTGACACCCTCTTTCTTCTATTGTGGGTCTGTGATTAGGTCTCTGAACCTCTCCTAACCTACTCTATAAATGGGTGCTAACAGTGCCTCAGGCCTAATGCCAGCACCTCCTGCTAGTTAACCAGCACATACGGAAGGTAAGGACGTCAACTGCCCGCCTACTTCACACATGGACAGCCTCCTTCACAGCCACTCACACCTGCCCTCGGTGGGCACAGCCTTCAGCATCTGCCAAGAGCCTCGCCCCTCTCGTGGCAATGCAGAGCTGATGCTGCATCGCCCTGGGGGCTGAGGGGAGATTTAAACCCACAGGGAATAAGAGATTACAGTTGTCCACTGTAATCCACTGCAGCAGCCCACGTTGGACCTCCCAGGACAATGGATGAGGCCAGGTGCATGAGTCATCCAAACTCAAATCAGCAGAGGCAGCTGCACACCTTATTCACTTCCTGTAGATGGAAAGCACCTAAGTTAAGGTTCCTTCCAGGATGGGCTTGTGAGTCTGCCTCAGTGTTCAGCTCGGGGGTTGTCATTCACAATGCCATCTCCAAAATGGGTGCCATTTACAAGAACAGACCCCCTGAAGCTGTGCAAGGGGTAGTACTGCCTCTGGATCATTTATTTATAAGAGGATTGATCAGCTGCAGGCAGATTCCCAAGCTACCTCAGTAAACAGCTGCATCGCCCTGGGGGCTGAGGTAGGCACCAGGAAGGAGCAGAGCTCTGGCTGGGTTAGACTCCATGGCTTTGCTGCTGCAAGGCCCATACCTCTGCACCTTAAAGAGTCCCTCTGCACCTTCACAAAGTATGCAGAGGATCATTCCAGATCATCTGCTGCAAGTCCCAAATGACTCTCCTTCAATGCTGAAGCATCACAATGGTTTCCCAGGATTGCTGTTACCTGCCCCCTGTTGCCCCTCTGGTTTCTTTCCCTGCATGCAAAATACACCAGCTCCCAGCCAGTCCCCTGACATCCCAGGAGCACTCATGTCTCAGGGACTGTGCGTTAAATTCCTTGCCCACAGTCCCATGGCCAACTCCCTTATTCTCTTCAAGTTTTGCTCAAATTAAGACCTACCATAGCCACCCTCCATTCCATCCCCAGCACCTCTCCATCTCCCTTAACTGCTCACCTCTGTCTTCACCCATAGTGCTTATTATCTAATAGACTCCATACTTAATTTTTTCTGTGGCTTCGTGTCTGTTTAATCTTTGTCTTGGTCTCTGCTGTGTCTCCAATTCTTGAGCAATGTGACACATAGTAGGTACACAATGTCTACTTACTGGTTGGCTGAATGAATGCAATGCCACTGGTGTTTGAAGACCTCTGCTTCGGAGAGAATTGCTATCTGATGGGAACTATCAGCTCAAGTTCTGATCCCACATTAAATACCTGAACTTTCCACCAAGGGCAAAAAACTAGGGGAAAAATCCTCCTCACTTTGGTCTTCCCAGGTCCTTGCAAGTCATGGCTTTTCCTGAGTGGCCAGGATCCAGTAGGTATGGCCTGAGAGAGGACAGGCAGTCCCCAACCCTGCCCTCTGGCCTTGTAGCCTGAAATCCCACCATTATGAGGTTGTCAGGCATTGCCCCTGTGATCTCATCTCGGCCCCTGTCAAGATTGACACAAGGATTCTAGAGACAAGGTTAAGAGGCTGGACCAGGGGCTGGAGCTGTGGCTCAGTAGTAGAGCACATGCCTGGTACACATGAAGCACTGGGTTTGATCCTCAGCACCACATAAAAATAAGTAAATGAAATAAAGTTATGGTGTCCATATACAACTAAAAAATTTTTTAAAAAAAGAGTTTGGTCCAGACCCTTGCTACTCAAAGTGGTCCTTAGACCATCAGCATCAATAGCATCTGGGGGTATGTTTGAGATGGAGAATCTTGGCTGGGAGTGCAGCTCAATGGTAGAGTGGACACTGAGCAAGCAGGGCAGGGGGCCCTGAATTCAGTCCCTAGTACCAATAAAAAAGAAAAAAATAGAATCTAAGAATCTGTCCTTTAACAAGACCTACATATTATTAATGGACATGAACGTCCTACTAGGCACAGTCAACTTTGGGCTTATTGTTTCTACTGGACACAAATCACAAGTTGACATGAAACTTCACAGAGTCTGTGCCCTTAATTAATCGTAACAAACGAAATTGCAACGGTACGTTGTCACTGGTAGGCCTTTTAAACGGTGCTTCCTGCATGCTGTCACCATCTGGGCCTCTTTTTCTAGGTTTGGGGAAACATATGACAACAGATTTCCCCAGGAGGGTGGCTTTTGAGTGTTAACATTCCTAGGGCCAAGTTGATCAGCTGCTCAGTGTTTCTGTTAGAGAAAGGACTGGAGACACCCAAAGGTTGATGGGAAGGGAAAGAACCAGAAGTACAAGAAGGGTCAGAAGAGGTGGAAAGCCGCCAACACAAAAATACCTACTAGCAGGACACGGTGTGTCTGTGCTTAGGCTAAGTGCTCTCCTGTGACAAGCTCATTTCATCCCCACAGTGAAGGGGAGGTCCCTGCCATTTTTTGTTTCCTTTGCACAGATGAAGAGACAGTCTTAGAGAAGGTGGAGGGCCCGGCTACAGTCAGATATTAGCAGGGTGGCAATCTGCCCTTTAACAAGGGACATAAATAAACGTTGAGTTCATAGCACCTCCAAGAGCAGAGACCCCTCTCACTGCAGGGTGCCCCATCCCAGCATTCTTCCTGGTCACAGCCCTCACTGGGTGTTGACTGAATGTCAAGCCCAAGACTGCTTGGACCACAGTCCTGGTCTCTCAGAATCAGTGTGCTAGGCCCAGGCGGTGGCTTACAGAAGGCCCCACCTAAGCTGGAGGAGGTCATTGAGCTGTGACTGGCCATCCCAGAGAGCTGCTACCTTGTCCCTAGGGGCTCCTCTACCCCCCCTAGAGATGTGTATTTCCTGACACAGTGGCCTGGGTCTTTCTAGTGCCCATCCAAGAAGCTCTGTAACCAACCAGAGTGTGAACCCCAGCCGAGAGGTGGGCTTCCTCAGGCATCCCCCAGTCCTCCAGGGTCTCTCCCTCCCGTCCTCAGGAAGACTCCTTACAGCTAAACTCTTCAGAGGATAAGGCAGCCTGAGAGAGCACTCTTCCCACCGAGTTCCTGAGGGAGTATTCCAGAACATTCCAGAGGGAAATGGAGTGACTTGCCCAAGCACGCTGGGAGTTGATGGTAGAGCCCAGACGATGGTCCAGGTTTCCTGGCTCCCTGCCCCGGGCCTTTCTCTGGCCCTCCCTGGTTCCTGGCGTTTGGGAGCTCCCTACTTGGCATTCTTGGCCTCTCCTCCATGGCTACTGCCCCCCCTGGCTGTGCCATGGAAGTGAGTCAGCCATTAGTGCCCTTGTCATTTAAAAATGCAGATAATGACTCTAACCTACTTTCTCGAGGTCAGCTCACTAGTACGCGTTTTAAGACATTTTGAAGGAAATGCTTCTCAGAGCCTCCTTCAGAAGAGTGATGGGTAGGTACCTCGTTGCTCCCAGGAAAGGGACCCAACTCCTGTCTGGGCTGCAATAAAGAGATGCTGTGGGCAGTGTGCTGTGAATCTGATTCCCAGAGACTACCACCCCAAGACCCCTTTCCCCTTCCCCAGGGATTCTAAGCCATTTCAAAGTGGCGGCTACCCCAATGGCTTTCCTTACCCCAAAGACCCGTGTGCACTTCCAGCCAGAGCAGGAGGAGGCTGAGTCTCCCACGGGAGATGCCTGGCATCCCCACCACAGGGGAGCTATCCCACAGGGCACTCTTTGGCTTCATGCCAACCCTTATTCTGGCCACCTACCAACTTTCTCAGGTACCTCAGAACACGCCTCCAGCTCTCCTCAGAGAAGAGCGTGGGGCCGGCACAGGCCTATACATTCAGTCAACACCAGGAAGAATGCTGGGATGGGCCACACTGCAGTGAGAGAGGTCTCTGCTCTTGGAGGTGCTATGAACTCAATGTTTATGTCCTTCCAAAGTTGATAGTTGAAGTCCTACCTACCCTCCATGTGACTGTATTTGGCGATAGGGCCTGAAGGAAGTAATGAAGGATAAATGAGGTTTTAAGGGTGAGGGCCTTGATTCCCTGGGATTAGCATCCTTATAAAAGATACCAGAAAGTGTCTCCCTCATGCACACACAGCAAGGACAGGCCACGGGAGGACACAGCAACAGGCAGTATCTGCAAATCAGGATAAGAGCCCTTGTCAGAAAACAAATGGACTGGAACCTTTATCTTGGACTCACCATCTTCCAGAACTGTATGGAATACATTTCAATTATGAAGCCACCCAGCCTGGGCTATTTGTTATAGCAGCCGCATGAGAGGAATACAAAGGGAGAAGGCCCTCCACTAGCTGGGAGGCAGGCGCAGGAAGAGGAATGACTACTGCATCATTGCAGACAGCTGTTCTCGTGCCCTGCCACACACTGGAAGCAACTGGAGATCTGCACACCCTTTCTGAACTGGACCCCACCCCGGAATTGTAGGTTGAATTGTGCCAGGCTGTGACTTGAGCATGGGGAATGTGAGTGTTAAAATCTCCCTGATGAGGGGCCGGGTTGTGGCTCACTGGTAGGGCGCTTGCCTGATATATATATATATAAATCTCCCTGATGATTCTAAAGTGCAGCAAAGTCTGGGAACCACCAGCCTAAGAGCTATTCCAAAAACATGGGAGCAGAGAGAAGAACATGGGAGAGGGGACAAATGGATGGGCAGATGAGAGGAGTGGACAGAAGTACTCAGGCAGAGGGCACAAGAAAAGACAGGACAGAGAGATGCTCATGGAGGAGTCTGTGTCTGGTGATGGAGGGGGAAGCAGTAGGATTTGCAGGTGCACAGGGCCTGGTCCTGAGTGGCTTGGGTGGCGTGTGGAGGAGGTCAGGGTTAAAGCAGGAAACGCCTGGAAGCCCACAGAGGACCGTAAGCAGGGGAGGGACACAACGACATTTGGGAAGATTCCTGGGGATGGTATGGTGCACAGGCCACAGGAAAGGCAAACCTTCATTCACTCACTCTTTCTTCATGTCTCCCACACTTGACCATGAGCTCTATGAGGGCAGGGCCCTCGTGGAAAGGAAGAAGCCAAGAAATGTCCTGCTAGTGATTCTCTCCCTTGCCCACACATTAGAATCATCTGGGGAAATTTGAAAGCTCACAAACACACAAGCCCTATTCACAGGGATACAATTTGACTGGTCTGAACCCATTGTCAAGTGAGATTCGATTTGTCTACACAAGAGTCTCAGCACTGGTAATTTTTTTTTAAAGATGTTTATTTATTTTTTTAGTTGTAGTTGCACACAATAACTTTATTTATATGTGGTGCTGAGGATCAAACCCAGGGCCTCTCACTGCTAGGCAAGCGCTCTACCACTGAGCCATAGCCACAGCCCCCGCACTGGTAATTTTGCTTTTTTTAAACTGGCCTTATGTGATTCTAATGTATGAGCCAGGTTTGGGAACCACAGGTCTCTAGAGATGAAAGAAGTTTCGAAAGGGAACAGACTCCTGACCCCTAATTAGAGAAAGGAGTGGACCATTCACTTTATTTCATCTGCCTAGAACCTGGGATCTTCATTCACATGAGAAAAATCTATTGGTGGCATCTGATGGGTGCCTGACAAGGACTTGAGATGGAGGGAGGGTGATGATGGACAATTATAGAGACATTTGCTGACCATCTACTGAGCGCTGGGCAGAAATTTTTACAATGTCACATTTACTCTCCTCAAAACCATCTTTAAAATGCAGAAACCGAGACTCAGGTACAGGTGAGACACTTGCCCAGGGGTAAACATCTGGCAAGTGTTTAATTGTTTAATTGGGCTGATTAATTCCAAAGCCATGGGTCATATCTAGACATCCCTATTGTCCTGGGAGTGATCAGAGCAGATGGAGCTCCAGCCATCTCCCCTCTGAGGTCCTCCTTGTATCCACAGTTACCTCTGGTGCATCACCTTCTCAGGAGGACCCAGGATCCTGGACACCAGAGTAGATGGCTGGGCCAGGCTGAAAGGGGCACGGACGAAGAAGAGTGGAGCGAGGCTGGGATGCGCGGGACTGAGAGGGAGTTATTGGGCATGGTTGCCAGGGCTGCAGTAGGCAGTGTGTCCCGTACTTTGGAGTTGTGCTTGGTCCTTGCGGTGAGAGTTCCCTGGGGGAAGCGGGACCGGGGCGCCCTCACTCGGCCGGCACAGGTGTGCCGGGTGCCATGGCGACGGCGCCGCGCGAACCCCTCCCGCACGCCCCCCCCCCCCCCACTCTGGCCCCACTTGCGTCTGGCCCGGGAGGCGTGGGGCGGCAGGCGGCAGAGTCCAGCGGACGGCAGCGCAGCGCTGCGCGGGAGCGTCAGCTCCGGCCCCAGGGGAGCGAGACGCGGGCACCGGCCTGGGCCTGCGAGCGCCCCCTGCGCGCCTCCATCCGCCTCGGACCAGACCAGACCCGCGGAGCGCAGAGGCTGCGCGCAGGGCTGGACAACCGAGCCCCTGCAGAGACCCTCTGCCCCTGCCTGGCTCCATCAGAGACTGTCCCGGAACAGGCAAGAGTGGGAAGCATGGAGGGTAAGTGACCCCGGGGCTGGAGGCGAGGGTGGGGAGGTGTATTGACTCAAGAGTAGGGGGCAAGGGTAGGGGGCTCATCACCCGTGGCTGTTCAGAACCAGACACTGTGACACTGTGTGACAGTGATAGAGAGGGAGAGAGAAAGATCTGGGGGTGCCTCTGTGTCCATGATGTGTATGCGTGTGTGAGAAAGAGATATCTGGGGGTGTCTCTGTGTTTATGGTGTGTGTGTGTGTACGCGTGTGCGTGCTTGGGCACAATGTTCCATACCTGAGCAAAGGTTCATTTGAGACCAAGTGAGGACAGCTTGGCTATTGGCTTTAGGGAATTGTCACCAACTTTGCCTGTTGCAGGGTGGGGGTAGCAGGAGAGATGGCTTTCTAGAAGAGATTGCCTCCATGCAGAGAGAATTTCTCTCCCTGGGGGAAGGGAAGGTAAGGACCTAACCTCCAGACTTTAGGAGATAGTGGCCCAAGGCACAGGCAGCTGGCTCCAACTTATCAGGTGGGGTTTAGACCCCTCTCTCAGCCCATGTGGATGACGGGAACTGCATTTAGGCTGAGAAACTGGAGGACAGAGCACTGTCCACTAGCTTGCAGGGTGTCTCTGAGATGGTGCCTAAACCTTTCTGTGCCACCGGTGAGCCATCTGTTGCATGGAGGAACTTACATTCAGCTGGCTTCCCAGGTTGGCGGTGAGGATAAAATAAGACAAGATGTGTTGTACAAATTCATGCCAGTAAGAGAAGGCTCTGCAAGAAGAAGAAAATTCTGACATTCCAATAAGTAATTGGAAATGCTGCTGTCAAGAGTGAGAAGAGGGCTTTATGGAAGAGGCTGTAAGGCTGCACTTGTAGCTTTCCATTGAGCTAGGGTTTGAAAAGCACGCACCATAGATACAGGGATGGATTTGGAAGACCGGCAGGGTCTGTAAAGAATAATGTCAGCAAAGCAGTGAAGCCCCAGTGAACAGAAACCGGGGGAAATTGGAAAGGACAGAGCAAAGAGCTTTGCCAGTCTAAGCAAGGACAAGAAGGAATCTGCTCTGCTCAGGGCTTGGGGCTAAAGGGCAGGCAGAGTAGTGCTCAGGCCATTTTCCTTCACATTGGGAAATGAAGAGCATAAGGAGAAAATTGAAACCTAAGATCGGTGAATGATGGGAAGAGGGCCCTGAGCCACTTACAATAAGTTCACCCCTTAAAACCCAGAAACATGACATCCCAGAGAGCCAGAGGTGTTTGCAGATGTAATCATTGCCTTAGAGGAAATTACAGAGAATGAAAAAAGTGCCTGAAAACAGAAGACGGGCAAGTGCCTGATTTTCAAAAAAGAGGGAAAGATAATGTATTTTTAAAAACCTATAAAGCGCTAAGATTAATATTGACCTCTATTAAATTTCCAGAGGAAATGATTGGACACAGAGTGAACTAAGTGTTAGGAGACAATAAAGCAATCGAACATCTCAGAATTTTTTTCAAAGGGAGCCGCCCTGTATGCTTGCAAATACGTATGCCTGAGCATGTTCACCACAGTGCAAAATTGGAAGCCATTTAGATGCCTGTAAATTAAATAAATTAAATAAAAGAGGAGGCACATCCACGATGGCTTACATTAAATGTGCTTCGGATTTTATTTATTGACATGGAAATATGTTCACTGCCCACTGGGAACAGATTATGTCATGTGAGTTTGTATGACGTACAAATAATAAGAGTCCTAAAAAAGTAGGTTTTAGAACACATGTATGATCCCTTTTATGTGAAATTACACAGGCTTATTACTGGAGAGAATAATTTATATTGGAGAGAATAATTTATACTGAATATGAATTTACATGCAAAGAGATAGTTACTAACATCTGCATTTGGATTCTCCTGCTTCTAACAACAGACCCTTGGGCTGGGGCTGGGGGCTCAGTGGTAGGGCACTTGCCTAGCATGTATGAAGCACTGGATTTGATCCTCAGCACCACATTTTATTTATTTATTTTTTTTTTAAATATTTATTTTTTAGTTTGTTTTTTGGCGTACACAACATCTTTGTACTTGTATGCGGTGCTGAGGATCGAACCCAGGCTGCACACATGCCAGGCTAGCACGCTACCACTTGAGCCACATCCCCAGTCCCAGCAGCACCACATTTAAAAAAAATAGGTAAAATAAAGTTATTTTAAAAATATCCTAAGAAGAGAATGTGGCTATAGGGGGTTCCTTTGGGAGCTGATGTGGGGAAGCAGAAGTGAAGGAATGAAAAGAGTGAGAAAGGAAAGGAAAACAGCAGGGGATAGGTGTATGAGGGCTGGGGATGAGCACTTACCTAGTGCATGGAAGCCCCTGGGTTCAATCCCAAGTACAGAAAAAATAAATAAATAAATAAATAAAGGGAGGAAAGAAAGAAATGGGTGCAGTCATGAACTAATTTTAGCCGTGGCAGTTGGGGCCTCCATCTTGCTAGGGACTCCCTGAGCGAAGTACAGAATGCACTGGTAATTTGCCCCACGTGAAATGAGATGTCACCTGCCATTAGTCCCTCCCTGTTGGTTGAGGGTCGCCCTGCTCCTACAGTTCTGCGTCATTCCTGTTTGTGGCTTTAGAAAAAGTAAAGCAGAGAGCCCCCAGGGTGCAGGCTTGATGGGATATTGGCAGAGCAAGGAAGTGTCCACCCCAGCTGAAATCTTTGGGCCAAGAAGAGGTGGCACCAAGTATCACAAACGCAGCAACCACCAAGGTTACCTCTGGGTTCGAGGTCTCAGGGGTGTTTCCTCTCTCTTTTATTGTGCTCAGCACTGTTTTATAACAAGCTCATCATTTTAAATAAAAAGGAAACAAAACCCAACATTTTCGGAGCTGGGGCTGTAACTCAGTGGTAGAGAGAGCACTTGTCTAGCATGCATGAGACCTGGGTTCTATGCCCGGCACCAAAGAAAAAGAAAACAACTTCTTTTCAAACAGAAAGATGATAATATAGTGCTCAATAGTAGCCTATATCAGAGATCACTAAGAACAAATTAGGCAAAACCTGCCAAGTCTCCTCTTTCAGACTGTGTTTCCGAGAGGTAAAAAGATGAATTACAGCAGTTTAACAGGATGCTGCAAAGATCTGTCAAGAAAACCCTGTGAACTGATAGACAAGGACGCTGGAGGACTGACAATGGGGGTTTCATTAAAGGCTTGGTAGCAGTCCCTGGGTCCCTTAGAGGGAAAATAAGAGGTATGTTTTATCAAATCTGCAGCTAGGAGACGCAACTCCCCCAGTGCAACAGATTCAAGATGTAAGTTAGTCACGATATATTGGAATGCTGGGTTGAAAGCAAGGAAATGAACTATAAATGTACAAAACATACATGAAAATGTGGAGTCCTGAGTGTAGATCCATAAAGCCAATGGCATGCAGTTACCATGAGGGATCTCTGGCTTGTGCCCTTGAGAAAAATTTCTGAGGGAGGGGATCAAAATGAGTTGATGATGGCCTTGGGAGGCTGAGGCAGGAGGATTGCGACTTCAAAGCCAGCCTCAGCAACTTATCAAAGCCCTAAGCAACTCAGTGAGACCCTGTCTCTAAATGAAATATAAAAGGACCGGGGTGTGGTGTGGCTCAGTGGTTAAGTGCCCCTGGGCTCAATCCCTGGTACCAATAAATAAATAAAAAGGTGGATGATGACAAGGGTCTGGGGCCCTTCTTTCTGGAGCTGGAGATCCTGGAATGTGAGGGTGGGAAGGTAAGCTTCAGGAAATGGTGCTGGGGACAGGGGCTCCCCCTTGTTCTGTGTAGCTCCAGGGAGCAGAACAAGAACTGGGGGTACAGTAAGACAATTCACGTCAACCCCAGGAAGATATTTCCATCACTCAGAGCTGGCCTAGAAGCTGTCTCCTCACCAACTCTCATTATCCAGTGTGAAAGAGGTCTGATTACTGACTGGGGAGAGGGGAAACTCTGGGGTGGCTGTACCAGAAGTGTGGCCTAGACGGATGCCTGAGGGCCCAGAAGCCTTCTCCCAATGCTTGGAGACAGACACTGCAGTTTGCTGAGGTCCCCGAAGAGTAGCTGGGGCCAGTGAGTCTGCCACCCACCTCCACCTTCTCTGCTGGCCCCTGACTGTGGTGTATGCAATGGGGTAAGGCAGCAGGACAGCAAATCAGATCCGCTCCCCAGTCCCATCCCATCCTGACCCCAATGTAGTGGCTTCCTAGGAGCCCCTGGTGGCCCCCACAGCTGCCTACCCAACCTGGGAGCTCTGCGTCTGAGAGATGTATACCCACACTGGCCCCAGGCCATACCTGCAGGGAGGCAGACCACGCATGGGAAGGGGGCCCCTGGAGAGAGGAGCAAGCCAGCTGGTCTCCCTCCAGCTCAGCACACAGTAGCATCTTGGAGGTCCAGGTGAGATCTGCTTTTCCACATCCCTTGGAAATGCTGCTACTGGAGTTACTGTGCCCTCCCCTTTTCCACAAAGCACTTGATCACACTGGAGCTGACTATCAAGTCTGGGAGGTGGGCATGGAGACAGCACTGTCCCTCTTTAGCAGATGATAAAACAGAGGCCCAGCACATACAGCTTGCCTTGCTCTGCTGACTCTTTCTGCTCAAATGACCCAGATTCTGGGGACACTGCAGGACCACAGCCTCCACAGAGTCCATCCTTGCAGCTCTGTCCTAAAGACCTGCACCTTCCTGTCTGGCTGGGTGTGAGGAATCGCATCGTCTGCAGCTGGGGAAGCAGAGGCCGGGTGTGTGTAGTTTGGTTTCTCACTGGGGCCATGGGCTATGGGATGACCATGTCCTGCTTCTAGCAGTGAGTTGAGGAGATGTTGAGTATTTCAGCTCAATCATTGAATCATCGTGTGGCTCATTCAACTGACTCCAGGCACTTACAACCAGGACAGGCCCGTGTAAACGGCTGCTCATCCCTGATTTTATACGTGAGGAAACTGAGGCACAATAACTGGAACTTAAAATATGGCTCATTTGGACCAGTTCTGCTTAAGATACAAACATAAGAGACAGAAATTCAGTCTCCTCAAAAGCTTTTTGCTGCTCTCTCATTAATAACTGAAATTGCATCAAGAGCTTTGCATTTTCTGATTTAAGTTTTCGCTCCTTTTGAAATGCAAATGGCCAAAAGATACACAGCCCTGTGAGTCATTTCCCCATCCATGTGAACAAATTTATCAAAGTCTTTCCTAAACAAGATCCTAGTAAGGATGGGGAGAGAGAGAGAACATAAGTAACTCAGGATAGGGATGCTGAGATTTTGGGCAGTGATGCCTATTGGGAAGTACTTGTTGGAGGAAGAATGGATCTCAAAGGGCTTAGGTGTCCTCTTTGATTACTCCTCAAATAAGCCCAGAGTAGCTCTGGTTCTCCCTGTGGCCACTGTATTCCTTCTTCTGCAGGCAAAGTTTTAAATGATACATATAGCATTCATGGTATTTCCT